ACCAGGAAGTATATGAGGAGCTCAGCTCATGATTCAGGGAGGTATTCACAGTGGAGACAGAGAGGCTTACAGTAACTCGAGGTGATAGGATGCACCAGCGAGTGATGTACACACTGCATATAACCGAAGTGGTGGTGAAGAAACTGCTAGATGAACTAGATACCTCTAAGGCGGTGGACCCAAATACTGTATCTCCTTGGATGCTGAGAGAGGGAGCACATGCACTGTGTGCGACACTAATAACAATCTTTAATAAATCTATCGAATCAGGTAAACTGCCTGAGGTGTGAAAGACAGCAAATGTAGTCCCAATTTATAAGAAAGGAGACAGTCTGCACAAAATTACAGACCAGTGTCGCTGACATGTAATGTTATGGAGAAGATTATCAAAAGAATAGTAGTGGAGCACCTAGAATGGAATGGGTTCATACATGACAACCAGCACGGCTTCTGGGAAGGGAAATTCTGCGTCCTATGATAAGGTTTCAGAAGCAAGACAGGAGAGAGAGAGAAGAGATGGGTAGACTGCATCTTCTTGGACTGGAAGAAGCCTTTCGACACAGTTCCACACAAGAGACTGTTTGAAAAGCTAGAGGAGCAGACAGGAATAGCAGTGAAAGTACTGCAATGAATCAGGGAACACCTGACAGAAGGAAACAACGTGTGTCGGTACGAGACGAGTTGTCAGAGTGGGAACATATGTCGAGTAGGGTTCCACTAGGGTCAGTCCTAGGTACGGTGTTGTTTCGTGTATATGTGAATGACATGACGGAAGGGATATTATTATTATTAAAATCAAGGGGGAAGCGCTAAACCCGGAGGATTATACAGCGCCTGGGGGGGGGGTGGAAGGCATTCAGGCTTAATTCGGGGAACTGGAGCACAGATCCAATTCCCTAAATCAAGAGCCCCTCACCAGCATCAAGGAACCTTCTTTGAGGGGGGATGGAAGGGATAGATTCAGAGGTGTCCCTGATCGCATACGATGTGAACTAATGAGGAAAATACAAGGGGGCGAAGATCGGGTAAGCCTACAAGCGGACGAATATCGGGTAAGCCTACAAGCAGACGAATATCGGGTAAGCCTACAAGCGGACGAAGATCGGGTAAGCCTACAAGCGGACGAATATCGGGTAAGCCTACAAGGGGACGAAGATCGGGTAAGCCTACAAGCGGACGAATATCGGGTAAGCCTACAAGGGGACGAATATCGGGTAAGCCTACAAGCGGACGAATATCGGGTAAGCCTACAAGGGGACGAATATCGGGTAAGCCTACAAGCGGACGAATATCGGGTAAGCCTACAAGGGGACGAATATCGGGTAAGCCTACAAGCGGACGAAGATCGGGTAAGCCTACTAGCGGACGAAGATCGGGCAAGCCTACAAGCGGACGAAGATCGGGTAAGCCTACATAAGGATCTAGACAGGCTGCAAACCTGGTCCGACAAATTGCGTCTAGAGTTTAACCCCCCAGCAAGAGCAAAGTTATGAAGCTTGGGAAAGGAAACAGAAGACCGCAGACGGAGTATAGTGTAAGAGGTCAAAGGCTGTAAAACTCATTCAAGGAAAATGATCTCGGGGTGAGCATCATACCGAGCACATCTTCTGAGGCGAACATCAATCAAATAACTGCTGCAGCATATGGAAGCCTGGCAAACCTGAGAAGAGCGTTTCGACGTCTAAGTAAGGAGTCATTTACGAGACTGTACACCTTGTACGTCAGGCTCATAATGGAGTACGCAGCACCAGTTTGGAACCCACACCTGATCAAACACGTCAATAAATTAGAGAAAGTGCAAAGGTTTGCAACAAGACTAAACCCGAAGCTGAGGGGTATGTCCTACGAAGAGAGGTTGAGGTAACTCAACCTGACAACTCTGGAGGACAGGAGAGGTACGGGGGACATGATAACGACATAAAATATTGAGAGGAATTGAAAAGGTGAATGGGGACAGAATGTTTCAGAGATGGGACACAGCAACAAGGGGTCACAGCTGAAAATTAAAGACTCAGATGAGTCACAGGGATGTCAGTAAATACAACTGGAGCTATGAATCAACTTCAGCAACCACAAATAGGTAAGAACAAATTGGTAAACACACACACACACGGGCCAGGAGCTGTGACTCGACCCCTACAACCACAACTAGGTGAGTACACACACACACACACAAACACACACACTCACACACATAGACACACACACACACACACACACACACACACACACACACACACACACACACACACACACACACACACCCCACACACACACACACACACACACACACACACACACACACACACCAATAAAACAATCACTATAAGCCTTTACATTTTACACCGACATTTCAACACGGAAAAACAAAGAAAAAACTTTTAACTGTCGACACAAGACAGACACACGGAAAAAAAATCGCTTTATACAGAAAAATACATAATTGGCCCTTTGTTAACCAACGTATAACTTTTCCCAGGTTCTCTTTGGTATAACAACGAAGGATACATACACAAATAACCCGCACATAAAAGAGAGAAGCTTACGACGACGTTTCGGTCCGACTTGGACCATTGACAAAGTCACACTTTGTCAATGGTCCAAGTTATGATGAGTACACACACACTTGTTCAACCTTTGGACGAAGACCTACTTCGACTAGTGGATGGTACCACTATGACCCCGCCTCCATCTGCTTCACGTCACCTCACTACAGTATATAAGCCACGTCTACGGCCCTATGCTGTACATTCTACAAGATTGATGGACTGAACACATCGACTCCAGGTTGAGGGACTGATTACCTCATTCTCCTCCTCTCCTTACGCCTTCCTCTTTGTATTGGACTGATGAAGCCACTGTGTGGCGAAACGTTTCCTGAATAAAGATTCCCAAATGCTGCATAAGTGTCTCAATCTTCAACTTGTCGGTTTTTCAAACCATTCATCACAACTGTCAGACACGGCAGCATCATGGGATCTTGTTACAAAGAATTCTTCAACACTTGTTCAACCTTTGGACGAAGACCTACTTCGACTAGTGGATGGTACCACTATGACCCCGCCTCCATCTGCTTCACCTCACCTCACTACAGTATATAAGCCACGTCTACGGCCCTATGCTGTACATTCTACAAGATTGATGGACTGAACACATCGACTCCAGGCTGAGGGACTGATTATCTCATTCTCCTCCTCTCCTTACGCCTTCCTCTTTGTATTGGACTGATGAAGCCACTGTGTGGCGAAACGTTTCCTGAATAAAGATTCTCGGTCCAAGTTATACCGAAACGTCGTCGTAAGCTTCTCTCTTTTATGTGCGGGTTATTTGTGTATTGTTCAAGTCACGGTATTGTGCCTTTTTGTTATTTAACAACGACGGATCACTGCTATAGGCCTACTATCCCATGCTCTTAGTATGTACCCGTCCACCCTCTATTTAAGACTAAGTAAGCTCCTATTACATTGATCTACTGTGATGTTTCTTCCATATATACAACCATTACTTCCCAATATCATTTCTAAATCTATATTTCTTCAACTTAAATTCAGTATTTTAAGTCCTGTCCTGATCAGATATTTTCAACACTTAATTGGCATTCCATTTTTTTTTTACCATTCATACACCTAAGTCATATCTCACGTATTTCTGCGCCTTTCCAGAGGTTAAATTTAGTGCCTTTAGCCTATTTTCGTACATAAGGTTTCTGATACATGGAATAAACTTTGTCATCCTTCTCTGTAATATAAAAAGTCACAATAACGTCAGTGGAACAATACACACATAGGTAAGACACATATGCAACAGTTAGGCAACTTTATTCCGAAACGTTTCGCCTACACAGTAGGCTTCTTCAGTCGAATACAGAAAGTAGGCAGGAACAGTAGAGATGTGAAGACGATGTAATCAGTCCATCACCCTTAAAGTCGTAGAATTTGAGGTTGTCAGTCCCTCGGCCTGGAGAAGTTCAGTTCCATAGTCAGGCGAAACGTTTCGGAATAAAGTTGTCTAACTGTTGCATATGTGTCTTACCTAACAACCTGTCGGTATTGTATACCATTTTGATGTTCAATACACACATAACCCGCACATAGGAGAGAGGAGCTTACGACGACGTTTCGGTCTAACTTGGACCATTTACAAAGTTACGTAAGCTCCTCTCTTCTATGTGCGGGTTATTTGTGTATCCTTCAGTATTTTTCGAGCACATATATGCATATCCTGTCACATGGAAACTAGAAGTGAGCAGCATAATCTAAATGAGATCTAACCAATGATACTTGTGTTATGTATGGTTGAGTAATACAGTGTTGCGTTAGTGTGACTTTGTAAATGGTCCCCCCTCAAGGAAGGCTCCTTGATGTTGGTGAGGGGCTCTTGATTTAGGGAATTGGATCTGTGCTCCAGTTCCCCGAATTAAGCCTGAATGCCTTCCACATCCCCCCCCCCCAGGCGCTGTATAATCTTCCGGGTTTAGCGCTTCCCCCTTGATTATAATAATAATGTAAATGGTCCAAGTCGGACTAAAACGCCTTTGTAAACTTCCCTCTCTGTGCGGGTTATTTATGTATGGTTCCAGTCACGGTATTGTGCCTTTTTGCTCTTTTGCACATGTGTATTAAGATTGAGACACTTGTGCAACAAATGGGAATCATTATTGAAAAGTTTCGCCACACAGTGGCTTCATCAGTCCAATATAAAGCAGAAAGGTGTAAGGAGTGTAGAAGCTTGAGGTAATCAGTCCCTCAGCCTGGAATCGATGTGTTCAGTCCATCAATCTTGTTGAAAGTATAGCATCGTGCCAGAGAAGTGGTTTATACACTGTAATCAAGTTAGTGGAATCAGGAGGCAGAGTCACAGTGGAACCATCCACTAGTGTAAGTAGGTCCTTTCAAAACCATTTATCACATGTGTCTTACTCTTCAACTTATCAGTATTGTATACCATTTTAACATACATAATCTATGAATCATATGAAGCCATGAATTTCTTATTTCCAGGAGTTCCAGCTAATGCTATCTTAGAAATGTTTGGTAAGATGTTCTTTAAGTTCTGCCAAGAGTCTGGATACGATACCATTCTTCAGGTACTTGGTGCCACTGTCAGTGATTTCTTACAGGTCAGTATCTTAAAAGAAAACTTGAAAATTTTCTTAAAATCTTGAGTTATAAAAGTGTTTGTAATATATTTCCCTAAAGAATGACAATATAGTTCAGTAAAATTCCTGTTAGAATGATAATTGGAGAAAATGATACATATATTACTATTCACTCTGGGACACATGCTAGGAAGTTTTTTCCTTATTAAACGTTACTTAACCCGTTAACGGTCCAAACGTATATATACGTTTTTTTCAACATTTGGAAGTATGTAAAAAAAAGTAGATCTTTTTTTTTTACCTTTGAAAATGTGTAAAAAAAACTTTGATCTACTTTTTTTTTGTTATATTTGAAAATACGTAAAAAAAAAAAAACGTAGATCTACTTTTGTAGACCTACACATGTGAACGTAGATCTGCTTGGACCGTTTACGGGTTAAAGCATTTTCCTGAAAGATTTCGGTATAAATCATGAGATTAAGACACATGTGCAACATCTGGGTATCTTTATTGTAGACGTTTCGCCATCCAGTGGTTTTATCAATACAAATTCTTGGACATAACTTGAAGACAGTAGAACTATGTACAGAAGATGAGGTAATCAGTCCCTCAACCTAGGAGTAGGTGCGAACAGCACCATAGTCGTGGAGATTCTGAAGCAGAAGAAAGGATCCTGGCGCTTATATAGTAACGTCAGGTGTAGCAGACGAGGGCATATTCACTGGTAGGCGGGATTCCCCAGTGGAAGTAGGTCCTTCCCAAAGAGATGGGTTAGTTGTAGTAGTAGTTGTCGTAGTCGTGAAGGTTACGTACATGTCCTCAGAATTAAGATTCCATGATGTTGCAGTGTCTGACAAGTTGTGTACGAATGGTATATAATACCGACAAGATGAGATTAAGACACATGTGCAACATCTGGGTATCTTTATTGTAGACGTTTCGCCATCCAGTGGCTTTATCAATACAAATTCTAGGACATAACTTGAAGACAGTAGAACTATGTACAGAAGATGAGGTAATATCATGTACGAGATACCCACAAGTTGAGAAACTGACGCGTGAAAAACACTTAAGACGTGTATTAGGAAACGTTTCGTAATATCTAATGTTTTGTACATGGGGACATTATTATCTAATGCACATAGAAGAGGGGAGCTTACAACGACGTTTCAAAGTTTATTCTCTATAAGGATTACAATGCTGAGTTTACAGAAATTTGGTTATTGTTTGGTTTACATGTAGTAAAATTGTGATTACAGAGTGTACCACTAGAACGCTTAGCATGGCTAGGCATTTCGGGCATACTTAGTTTTATTCTTAATTGTAAAATATTACAAATTATGAGGTAAGTTGGTATTATGGCTAAGTGACTAAATACTGTGATGAATGGTTTGAAAAACCGACAAGTTGAAGATTGAGACACTTATGCAGCATATGGAAATCTTTATTCAGGAAACGATTCGCCACACAGTGGCTTCATCAGTCCAATACAAAGAGGAAGGCATTCTACAAGATTGATGGACTGAACACATCGACTCCAGGCTGAGGGACTGATTACCTCATACTCCTCCTCTCCTTACGCCTTCCTCTTTGTATTGGACTGATGAAGCCACTGTGTGGCGAAATGTTTCCTGAATAAAGATTTCCATATGCTGCATAAGTGTCTCAATCTTCGACTAAATACTAGTTTTTTCGGTCCGACTTGGACTATTTATAAAGTCACGCTAACGAAAAGGAGAGAAGGAGGGAGGTGATAATGGAGAAGGTGGTAGGTGGAGGAGGATCCAGTCAAATACTAGTGTAACTTTGTAAATGGTCCAAGTCGGACCGAAACGTCGTCGTAAGCTCCTCTCTTATCCTCACGGTATTGTGCCTTTATCTAAAATGGCCAGTCTACACTGAATTTTCCTGAATCTTTCTAAAATTATTTGAAACATTGTCAAGCATTTACTCCATATTTTTGCTGTTCAACCCAAGTTTCAAAGGTCTGTTATGAAGCTAAGGTGTGAGCAAAGGCTGAGCTCATAGCAAACTAGCACTTAAACTACTAGGTGGGAAAACTAATCTACTAGTATTTGGAATGGCTTTCCATGGAATCGAGCTCTGCCATGTCACTGAGCTCAACGCTTTTACTTCTTCTTCTGCTGGGAATAAAGACTACCCAGCCTGAAGATGCTTTAGTGAGCTCTAAGTTAATATTTTTACTGTGCTCATTTCTCGAAGCATTTTTAAAATAAAAATATTCGACGGTCTAAAGAGAAAGTTTTAAAAATAAAATATGATGATTGCCGTATTTCGCGGCTTATTAGACGCATTTTTTCCATACAATGTCTCCAAAAACCAGCTTGCGTCCTATAAACTGAAGGTCAGTGACGGGAGGTATGAGTCTGGGGTTGTGTACGAATGGTATATAGGGACTGATTACCTCATCTTCTGTACATAGTTCTACTGTCTTCAAGTTATGTCCTAGAATTTGTATTGATAAAGCCACTGGATGGCGAAACGTCTACAATAAAGATACCCAGATGTTGCACATGTGTCTTACTCTCATCATGACTCTGGGGTGTTGGGTGGGTTGTAGCTCTCCGAAGTACGTCCGATGACGAGCCATTGAAACTAAAGCAAGTGTTATAAGCCGCGTCTTATAAGCCGTTTTTCTACTTGATAAAGTTAAATGTAAATGAAACATCTGATGACTTTCCGTCCATGAGATTACTGAAGACACAATCAAACTTGACAGACAGGAATAGCTTATAAAGCGGTGAGTAACAGCGAGGTAAAAAGCCAGTAAGTTGCTCAGGTCAATAATCTCAAACAGCCAATGAATTTTCGGCCAAGATGCTCAGATAAATTGTTGAAATAGTTGTAGTGATTGAAGTTGAAGGAGACATTGATGAGTTCACTTTCAATTTGTTTTCCTCCTGTGTTGTCCTCATGGCAATTACTGGAGTTTCTTCTCGTTATTGTGGATGCGATTGACGAGGTCTCAGAGTTTGTGATGTTCATGACGATGGTGCCGAAGACTTGTAGGAGGTAATGTGTATCAGTAGGATCTCAGGTTTGTGGGTCTTAAGCAGACCCAACTTTCTGGCTGGTCCGGGTTTCTTACGGATGGAATGAAGTAATTTTTTTCCTCTGTTCTGAGCTTTATAAGCGAATATGTGTTTGGCGAGGATAGGGACGGCAAGGCAATGAGGAAGGACAATGCGGATGGTCTGTGGGCTGAGGCGTGTTCTTAGTGACGAACTGGGTGAATATAATGCAGAGAATCCGTAGTTTGGAGATTAGGAGAATTTGCGGGCTGAGGAGGGGTTGTTGAGGTGGTTTGGACATGTAGAGAGGATGGAACGAAATAGAATGACTTGGAGAGCATATAAATTTGTAGTGGAGGGTAGGAGAGGTAGGAGTCGGCCTCGGAAAGCTTGGAGGGAGGCGGTAAAGGAGATTTTGTGTGCGAGGGGCTTGGACTTCCAGCAAGCGTGCATGAGCGTGTGAGATAGGAGCGAATGGAGACAAATGGTTTGTAGAACTTTCCGTGCTGTTGGAGTGTAAGGAAACATTTATGAAAGGGTTCAGAGAAACCGGCAGGCCGGACTTGAGTCCTGGAGATGGGAAGTACAGTGTCTGCACTCTGAAGGAGGGGTGTTAATGTTGCAGTTTTATAACTGTAGTGTAAAGCACCCTTCTGGCAAGACAGTGACGGAGTGAATCTTTAAAGCTTTTCTTTTTCGGGCCACCCTTCCTTGGTGGGAGACGGCCGATGTGTTAATAAAAAAACGTATATATATACATAAAGTATATTATTAAGTTGCCACATAGTGCCAGCACCGAGAGGAAGAAAAATCAGATGAGCATTAAGACCCTCGGCTAATTTCCAACATCAAAAAACAGCTAAATGCTCGTCATTCTCAACGTCTGGAGATCTTTTCTGGCCTCGTTCAGCCTCATCACTATCATGTGATGCGAAATGTTCATATATTAGTCCGGATATGAAAAATTTCCCTTCCGTAGGCGCTGACTTTAAATTTCCCTCCAGGTTTATTTTTATTGTCGATTTTAATGAAACCTTTTCCGACCATTTACCCAATATTTTAGTTCTCTTCCGGAATGACCCCTTAGTTGCTCAAGGCCTTTTTCATTTAATTTTTTCATACGAAAGATCTTGGATTCCCCATCTGCCTAATGAGTTTTTTTTTTTCCGATAAAAAATTTCCAGAATTTTATTTACATTTCATTACTTCTTGATGGAATCAATCACAGAAAATGACTCATTCATAGCCTCAGATTTAGACTATTTTGTGACTATTTTGTAACTATTGACCATGGAATAGTAAAATCTTCGATTATTGATCAAGAGGAAGGAGGATCTTTTACTACTGTTGGTGAGAAAGTAACAAGATTTTTGACTGCTATTGGTCGAAAGGAATTTGGATCGTATTATCTTCTCAAACATCAATATGGATTGTGTGTCCAGACTGCTGCTTAAACTAGCTGAACATAATCAAACAGAATGGACATAAATTAGTTAGAAAATATTCAGCGTAGGATGACTAAATTAATATATAGCATTAGAAATCTTCCTTATGAAGAAAGATTGAAGACTCTTAAGTTACATTCACTTGTTAGACGAAGAATGAGGGGAGACCTGATCGAAGTGTATAAGTGGAAGATAGGTATTAATAAAGGAGATATTAATAAGGTCTTGAGGATATCTCTCCAAGAGAGAACCCGCAGTAATGGATTTAAATTAGATAAGTTTAGATTTAGAAAGGACATAGGAAAGTATTGGTTTGGAAATAGGGTAGTTGATGAGTGGAACAGTCTACCTAGTTGGGTTATTGAGGCTAGGACTTTGGGTAGTTTCAAATTTAGGTTGGATAAGTACATGAGTGGGAGGGGTTGGATTTGAGTGGGACTTGCAAATGAGTGGATAGAGTTATCATACCTTATTTCTTGGGGAGCATTGAAAATTAAAATTGGGTTGGGCAAATGTTTTGTTAGTGGGATGAATTGTAAAGGAC